AGTCATCCTGCCCATACAAGATTTCATAAGCTAGGAAAGGCAAGGATCAAACATGCAAGTGGTTTCACAGATCTGCTCAAACATCTTGTTCACATCCTCAAGCTGCATCAATTGGAACTAATCCAACAATACTGGACCAGATAGCACATTGGACACCTCAAGTCGACCTACCAAAACTCTGGAGTCCAGATCATAGTGGATGCAAGCAAATTTATTGTGCTTTGCAAACAAAATGCAGGAGGCAATTGGTGATTCAAAAATCTTATTAGGGCTAGAATGCTATAGACCACCCAGAGAAGCTTTGCTAAACAGAAGTGAAAGTATGTAATGGAGGCAGTGAGAAAACATGTGTTCATCTTTGCTGCCACAGAGTACCATTGAGAATGAGCACATACTAGTGATCAGTTTCATATGTCAGCTTGTGTTCAAGTAATTTCTCAGCTTTCTTCATCATCCTCAACTCTAGGGTATATACCATGAAGCTACCCAAGCTTTTCTAAGTGAGGGAGGACATTTAGGAAGGATCATGTCAACCATTTGGGTCATCTCTTCATTCCATAGGAGCATTATTCATTTCAGCTGGGAAATCCCCCAAAGTCCTCTGGAATCCATAAGGATTCATCAAGCTCCAGGGCTGGACCACCCTCATTGTTTTCATTCTTGCAGAGGGGAAAAGTCACTGTCATCCTCAGCAGGTCTGAGCATGACAAAGAAACAGATGTAAGATTCCCCACTCTCAGAACACCCTCTTAACTGTTGGTCTAATCACATTTTGTGACAGCCCATGATGGTAATAAAGTCTTGACCCACCCTAGATCTCATGGCCTTGGTGTGAACATTTATTACCTCCAGGACCAACAGCCTGGAAGGCCTCACCAGAACATTCAGTACCAGCTCTGTCAGCTCACACAGGAAGGCTGCTAGGCAGTGGGATATGTGGTACGCTCACAGAATCCCTAATCTGTTCCATTCACCCAGCACAAGATTCAAACATTCCAGATTTGCAGTTAGTTGCATAGGAAACCAGGACAAAGAGAGCCAGTGTGGTGTAGTGGTTAAGAGCGGTGGACTCGTAATCTGGGGAACCGGGTTCGCGTCCCCGCTCCTCCACATGCAGCTGCTGGGTGACCTTGGGCCAGTCACACTTCTTTGAAGTCTCTCAGCCCCACTCACCTCACAGAGTGTTTGTTGTGGGGGAGGAAGGGGAAGGAGATTGTGAGCCGCTTTGAGACTCCTTCGGGTAGTGATAAAGCGGGATATCAAATCCAAACTCTTCTTCTACTACTACTGACTTCCTGTTGACTACACAGAAGTTCCCCTTCCCCTTTCCCCTTCGAAATCTTACCTGTTGCTAAACCAACTAGCCAGGTGGGCACGGCTAACTCTCTGCTTGCCCCCATTCAGGTCCTGGTTATACAGGCCAGGTCAGCCAGTAGTGAATGAGGGAGATCTTATTATAAACTGACCTTGCATTTCAAAGCAGCATCTGAAGACCTGACATCTGGCTGATAGGACAGCCAACACACCTCCAGCTGAAGGAAGGACAAGAAAATGGAGCAGCACTTAATTGACTGAACCACATATCCCCAACCCAGCTCAACTCTGTCCCCTCAGAGGGCCCTTCTATCTCCATATGATCCAAGTAGAAGATAGGCAGGTGGCACAGCATCTGGGCAGATTGTCTGTTCTTCTTCTCCCTATCCTGCTTGGGGTGGGGTGGGGTTATTGGCAGATGTAGACCACGCAAGCATTAGGTAGAAGAGCAAGGAGCGGTATTTCTGTGATTTCATCAAAGACTCCATTAAAACAATTTTGGATTAATGTGTTATAGCTCCACTCAGTTTGTGTAACTGCATCTCTTTCCGTTGCTTTTTTATTTTTGTTTCATTGTCTTCATGGCTTGCTTTTGTAGTATGGTAGGCAAAGTGGAATCAAAAGAACTTTTCTTTTTAAGAGCTATCTAGCCCTGGCTTCTTCGTCTTCTTCTACGTATACCAATGGCAAGCACTTCTCTCTCTCTTTCCTGTGCTTCCATCACTTTCTACATGTCAGCCACACAACGACTTGAACCTCATATAATATTAGGCTGTGTCCATTTTAAATTAACATGTATTTTCCATTTAAAGATCTGCATGGTACTTGATTGTAGCTTGGATTGTAGAACGAGCCCCAAAATGTTAATTACTAATTCAGTAATAAGCTCCCAACAAATCGGTCCCCTCCTCATGCAGGCAAAGACTAACTGGCTGCCTCTTCCTTAGGTGTTTGTGAATGCTAAAGTATGAATTCTGTGACTAACCAAAGTGTCCTGTGCAGTAAGAAACATAATAAGAGCTTGTGCACGTGTGTGTGCTTTCTCTTCACTCAGGCAAGGCAGTTTTCCTGTCATCAATCAGAGCGGCATTATGGGATCCAGCTCTCCCTACACCCAGCCAATGAACAACAACTCAAGCCTGATGAACCCTCAAGCTCCTCCTTACAGCATGGCACCTAACATGGTGAACAGTTCCACAGGTAATGGTTGGTAACTTTTCAGGAACGGCTGTTTTTTCCAAGGTAGACACCCTTAAGGCTCCTATTCCATATCCACTTACCTGGGAGTAAGCCCTATTGAACCTGGTGGGACTTACCTCTGAGTACATTAGGTTGTACTGGATGGAGCAAAGGGTTTCTCCTGTGCAGCTGGTTCTGTGTTCCTTAAAACAGGAGTTTCCTGTTATTGTATCAAATCCTGCATATGTTACACCCTTAGGTTGTCTTCTATTTTTCCTTGAAAATGTGAACATGGCGTGTTTGAAAACTGACAGGTCTGAAAGAAGACATGTTTAAAATGTAGTAAGTTTTCTGAGGCTGGTGCAGCTGTAATTAAGCAACATAACTGACATCATCTTAGGTTAGGAACCTGACCAACAAGGTACCAAAAGTCACTCACTGTGTTTAGAATAAAGTATAACTCTCTGAAAGTCCCAGTAATTATGTTCACTCACTGAAATAGACAACAAAATGGACTTAACAAATAAAATTAACAAAGGGTCTTTTTCCATTTATATTTCTTTGCAGGAATACCATGCCAGGGATCTGTTTGTTGATGGGATTGTTCAAGTGCTCATTTGCATTTGATGTGGACTCAAACCGTTCTCCCTAGCAGTACATTATTTCTTTTCTCATTCCCATCCCCAACTATTACATTCATGAATATGTTGTAGTGTGCAATTGCATAGTAACTAGATTTCCTTTAATTACATTTAAGTCATACTCCAAATAAGCCCACTGAAATCAATGGACTTTAGTTAGTCATTACTAACAAGACCATTGATTCCAGTGGGACTACTCCGGGTGTGACTTAGTACGATATATCCATAGAGGGCAAGGCTATCCAACCATGTATTGCTGTGATGGATGGCAAAAAAGTATAATGTGTATGCAAGACAGAGAGAGTAACTGGGTTTAATTGCTGGGTTGCAGATGACTTCTTAACATTATGTCATGCTTATTGGAGAGAGGAACCACTGTTACTAACCTGCTTTCTGCAGCAGCACCTTTAGATTTCTTTTTCTTTTTAAGGCAAATCTAGCAATGGCTTCTTGTGCTTATCTGCTCAGGACACCACTGCCAGCGAAAATAGAGTTCAGTTACCTTTTAAAACAAAACAAATCGGTTGCTGCTCCTGCTTCTTGCAACAGTTTTGGTTCCTCTCTCCTCTCCAGGAGCCCAAAGTAAGGCTAGTGAGCAATCCTTTCCTGCTGCTGCTGCTACTGCTACTGCCTCTACTTGGCTGCTGGAGGAAAGAAGCCTATAGTCTTCTTCTAAGTTTCAAAACAGACAGGGGAGCACTTGAATACAATCATTTCCTCATTAAAATAATAATGTGAGAACCAGCAGATTCTGTCTTTACTGTTTATAGTGATTCCTCCAAACTTTTATGAAGGTGTTACATGCTGGTAGATATTATTATCTCTCCCCCCTGCCTTCCCACCCCCATTCTATCTTTCAGATGATTTGCCTGTTGCTTAAGCAGCATGTTTATGTCGACTGTGGAATTAACTGCCTCGTAATAAAACTCAGAGGGTTTCCCCCACCCCACATACACGTATTGAAAACATGTACAGCTTCTATGATTCTGCTCCACAACGCAACCAGCCACCCAGCTCTCTTAAACATTTTAAAGTTTTTGATTGCCAAACATTGGTCCCGTTTAATTCTTTTTCTGACAGCTGAAAATGCACATTGTTGTCCTAGAGTCTCATTATACCTGTTTTTCTACTCTCTAGACAACAGTTTAGCAGAGGTATTCCCACATGTCTTATTTATAATGGTTTTGTGCTGTGTCTTCAGCAAGGGTAAGAATACAGATTGTTAATCAGGGAGATTTTTAAAAAAAATATAAAATAAAATTGCTTCCCTTAGTGTTAGGCAGGAGGTTGTTTGTTTGCCCATGCAGCACACTTTTACTTCAGTTGAAAAGGAAAAAATCTATTGAACAGGCCATTAGATAATAGCTTGCTCCCCCCTCCCCCGACCAGAGCTGTCCCAGGTAATACTGTGTTTGGGTTATGTAGTAATGTGTTTTGTCTGCCTGGATGAAATAAAATTACTTTTGAGCATTGAAACTGCACTATAAATCCTGGCTTGCTGTTTAGCAGCAGTAATTTTTTGCCCCTTTTACTCTGGCCCCCAGAGCTGGAAAAATAACCAACAACAAACAGATGGCAGAGTGCCCTGCCTAAGAAGATTTATGTATTGCAAAGGAATAACCAGTTTAAAGGAAGATTCACAGAGGGGTTTTTTTGTTCAGATAATTCAGCCATTCTTTATTTCATACGGTGGAAATCTGTTCAGTGCAAAAGCATTTATCCTAGCAGTCTTTTGTATGGAGTAGTCATAGTATTTTTATTGTGTTCTGCATTCCAAAATATTGAATTTTTAAAATAATTGAATCATGTATCAGAGCTTTCTTTATTTCTTTTTTATTTTTGGTTTATGCATTTTTGAGGTTTTCACTTCCATATTTATTAATCCATGGTGTGTCCTGTAAAAATATAGTACATGCACTGGTAGTAGTGCTTGTTGTGGTTTATTTGTTTCAGCCATTGACCCTAAAAAAAGAACAGACAAACAAAGGCTTTAACCAGCAATCATAATCAAGATCATGCAAACAACCCAGAAAAATGTACTATGTTACAATAATTCATTCTATTTTAAATAAAACTCCACAGCCAGTTTCCAACCCTCAGTCTACTACAAGAAAATAAAATAATTTTATGTTGCTTTCCAGAAGTCCGAGCTTGTAACTTCTCTATTTTTGTTTACCACAAGAAATTATTTCCCCCCTTGTAGATCTAACTTATTTCATGATTTTTTAGTAACTGCTGATGAAATCTATTACATGCATGTTCAAAGATGACACAGACATATAGTAGATGTCTTCGTTTATCTCCTTCCTAAAAAATTACTGAAGTAAGCAAAAATGTATGTTGCAATACCACTCATCCAGAATCACTGAGGGCATTTGAAATCTTAGCAGGGTCAAGGCTCAGATTGAACTTAGGCAGATCAATTAAATATTTTTTCCAAACCATGAGCACATTTTGATCACATATCAGGTTGTTGAATTGACTCTGGCCAATTGAGAAGGATCACTTTGCTCAAAAGTGTCCCTGAAGTGTAAACTTTGATTTAGCAGCTGGCAATTCTGTACCCTTGATATCATTTACAGAAAAGGCTTCCATCATTTTAGTTGTGGAGATGGGACAAGCAATCTTGGGGTACCAAATATTTAATGGGATAGAATTAATTGAATCTGTTCATATAAACTAAGCTTCAGAAGTCTAATTTCTGGCATATGTTTTACATTTAACCAGAAGTTAAGTAAATTTAAGTAGATTTATAAATAATGTGATGTGTAGGGGCCTATGATGTGTACTCTGCAAATTGTTCTACACAGTACAGCTAGCTTAAAGACACAAATTACAGCCACAAAACGACTTAACATACTCCACTGATCAGGAAGTGTTGAGAGGAGGATATTTCATCAGCTGTGAAAGCACAGCATCACAAAACATTACAGTTTTTTGTGCTCCAAGGAAATATAAAGGTAAAGGTACCCCTGCCCGTACGGGCCAGTCTTGCCAGACTCTAGGGTTGTGCGCCCATCTCACTCAAGAGGCCGGGGGCCAGCACTGTCTGCAGACACTTCCGGGTCACGTGGTCAGCGTGACAAGCTGCATCTGGCGAGCCAGCGCAGCACACGGAATGCCGTTTACCTTCCCGCTGGTAAGCGGTCCCTATTTATCTACTTGCACCCGAAGGTGCTTTCGAACTGCTAGGTTGGCAAGGAAATATACTAGCATCATTATAAGGACTGGTACTGGTGCACATAGTTTGAAAATATTTTACTGGTGAGCTATTTTACCTTACCAAATCCATGATGAGAAACAAGGGCAGATTCAGACAAGCAGGAGCCTCATGACAGCCATTTAAGAATGCCCTATATGGCAGCTGCCTGCTGGCTTTAGTCATTTGGTGAAGCCCAGTATTACCATCCCTGCACTTCCCATATTTCCAAGCATATATAAGGATGCTAATGCTGGCTTCAGCCATGTGTCTGAAGGCACTAGATAACTGCCTTGGCATGTGGGTGCGGGCAACTTATATGATAAACTTTTATACCAGAGAGTAGGGGACCTGTGGCCATCCAGTTGTTGCTGGGCTACAGTTCACCTCATTCCTGCCCATTGGCCATGATAACTAAGGCTGATGGGAGTCCAGCAGCATAGGGAGAGCCATAAGTTGCCCACCTCTTTTATTCAGTGCTGAATTTTAGAAAGTGGGAGGAGAGGGAGATGTTAAGCTCAAGCTTCCCTAGATAGCATGACCTGCTGCCTGGAAGCCTCAGTCCCCCAGATCTTGAGTGAAATTATTCAGTGAAGAAGGAAGGCCACTCTATCCCTAATCTAAATTGCTCTCTTTATTTATTATTACTTATGTACTACAATTGAATTTAGCATTGAAAGCAGTTTCCAGGATTCAACCATGGTGGTGCTTGGCTGTACTTTTAAGTGGTGACTCTATGGATTCTGTATATCTGGTTTCATCTCCAGAAACTAACTTAAATATAAGTTTTGCCATCATTCATGTATATAATCAAGTCGCTTTCCATCAAGAGCTGAGAAAATTGTTATCCCTATCTCCCTGTTCCCAAGCTTATTCATTCATTAAGGAGCTCAGGATGGTGTACAAGGTTCTCTCCCCCCCCATCCCCCCTTTTATTCACACAGCAATCCTGGGAGGTAGCTAGGCTGAGAGATAGTGAATGGCCCAAAGTCACCAAATATTGCATTTTGATGCGCGCGCACACCCCAACAGCTTCAATACAAATTGAGAATTGCTCATCAGGTAAAGACATACTTGCCCGGTCTCAACTCAGTGGTGTGAACATTGAGCAGGCAACTGTGATACACATCAAAGTCTGCTGACATGTACAGTAATGTGCAAACACAGCAAAAAAGAACAATTTTGATCTGTTTTAAGCCAGCAATGTGTGCACAACCTGAGTCAGACCCGTTCTAGTCCAGTATATCTCCCCCCCCCTTTGGGCTAATGGTCTTAACCACTATTAGCACATGCTGCACATTATAGAAAGATTCAGCTACATGTAGAAACATAGTCCTCAGGATCATGGCCAAACCTGAAACCGGCATTTGTCCTATAACCACCCACGCCCATATGTACTATGAATGGGCACAGGAAAGATGACCAGCATTTTCAGAGAGGTCCCTATTGCCCCAAATTGTAGCTCTGGTGCAGGAAACAGAAAAATCAAAAGATAATAGTTGCAGCTCTGCCAGTGGAATTTAAACAGTGTTGCAGACACCGATTTAGACGACTGTCATTTCAGCCATCTCCCTGTTCCGTTAAGAAAACATGGCAGATACAGAAAACGTCTCTTAACTAGTGTAGAGCCCCGATGCTCTGAAAGAAAACCTCCCTTGTGTAATAGGCTTCAGTGAGCAAATAATTATTTAAATAGAATCAGTGTGACTATGAATATGACAACTGTTTCTTCAGTTATAATGCCAGGGGGAGGGGGTTTAGGAGAAAGCAGTGAAGGAATTTCTTCAAAAAGACAGATGAACAGAAGGCTTCCCCCTTTTTTGTTAACAATGGTGGATATTAATTTCATTTTTGAATTTTAGTGAAAATGGTAGTGCAGTGTGTAATCTTACGAAGTGCATGTGAATATACCTGTAATGCAAGTAGGTATTTATGATCAATTTTTATTGCAGGCACAAAAAGTGTTACTCCATCTACTTTTTCTTTAAAATTATTATTATTATTTTTTACGCTTATGGTTTTCTTGCCGCTCAATCCAGTTGTGTCTCAACCAGAGCACATTTGCAGTTTCTGCAGCCATTTGCCTCAAACCAAAGCTCAGTGTACACTCGGGTATACAGTGCAGAAATCCTCAGTCTTTTACGATGGTAGGCAATCCATGCACAGAGTCACATTTGGGCAAATGAAGCTGTTCCAGACACAGGGGGAAACTAGTGACTGCACGGTGATCCTTTGCTGTGAAAAGCTGGTTATTCTGGGCAGCCATGCAGTTTTGCATAATCTGTCTCCTACTGATTCAGACTTCAGAATCCATTTTTAAAAGATGGCCTTACATTGCAGAAATGTTTGGGGGGGTGGGATGTTTCTGGGCATGTACTCTGATACGGAGCTCTGCTGCCAAGCTCATATCACTGGGCTTAAAGTGAGCCTTCGTGCAAGGACCAGATCTCAGGAGCTGAAATGATATATGCACAAAACTGTCCCATACAGCTCCATTCAATATATGCCTGAACTGGAGCTCCTGCAAAGTTTTGGGTCAGGCTGTCCCTTTTAAAATAAACATTTTCTTCCGAACATTTTCTTACAAAGGCTTAAGACCACATTGGGTCAGTGGCAGCTAAAGTACTGGGCTGCTTGGAACATAGGTTTATACGAAGTCTAGCATGTAGTCTTGGGCAGATCTCTCAGCCAAACCTACCTCACCAGGTTGTTGTGACTTTAAACTCATTGTGTGGTAGTGCACCCATGGTTTGCACACAGGCAGTTGTACCTTCAATCCCCAGATGGAACGGTCTTGTTTAGGAGAACTGAAAGGGACTCCTTCCTCAGTCGGAGAGGACAGTGCTAGGCTGGTAGTCTGACTGCATTAGGCAGCAGCATCTGGAGGAAGAAGGGGAAGAAAATGTAATCAAATATTTTTACTGGTTCTGGTGGATTGGACCCAGAATTGTTAAGTCCTGACCTGGGCTCTTCCTGAAGAATCCAAAATTCAGCCTAATGATTTGCTGTGGGCTGTTTTCCCACAGACTGATCACCATTGCCTCTCCTATAGGACAAGCATGGCATCTAGCCCAGGAATACAGATCCCTGACTGTAGGACAGTCTTAAGATACTTGACTGCAGTTTAACTCACATGTGAGCTAAGTTTGGTGTGGTATATAGCTAGAACAGGACCTTGACCCATATTTTCTTTTTTAAATTATTCTGACTTTCAACTTCTTATAATAAAGCCTGGGGCTAGTTCTTGGAACCTATTCACTCTACATTGCAACTCTTTTTCAATCACAGATTTCACTGTTATCTTCTTCTTTTTAATGTTTTATATATTTGTAGTTTGTGGGCAGGATCATTAGGGTCACTGGAGAAGAGAGCGTGTGTGCGCACGCACGTGCCTTAATTTGCTGGAATTGTGACAATAGTGTTCTTTCACTGTTTGAAAAGGGGTCAAAATAATACCCTCAGTTTGTCATTGGACTAGAAAGCAAAGGGATACCAGCCGCAAATCCCTTGGAAGCATTCTTGTAAGTCTTTACAAAGCATTTCAACAAAGGATAAAGAAATACCTATGGGTGCTACACAAAAGACTATAGTAGTACTTCTTTCTCAAGATGACATGGTAACTTAGAACCAACTGTTGTTGTAAGCAATTAGTCCTGTGCAATGCAATGCAATGCAGATGTTGATGTGCAACTGGATTTGCATCTGAATCTGCACCAGTAATGCACATGGAAGGCTTCTTATACACCCTGTTGCTTGATTGAGGCAGCTCATAAGAAGTACATGTCAAATGCTCTATAGCCCAGCCTTTTTCTCTGGATCATAATCACTCAAAATTTTATTTACAATTTTCAGATTTTATCACCCTTGCAAAATCTTTCTTCAGGCAGCTGAACTGGCCACCTGAAGATTTCACTGCTAGTACAAACTGCTGTTCTGCACAACATAACCACTCCAGCATCATTCAGAAAGCTTGCAATGGCATCACACAAACTTGCAGCTAGTGAATTGGCAACCAAATTCAGACTTCCCACTACTGCAGTTAAATTCAAGTAGGAAAAATGCTGGCCACAAGGAGAGTGGTCTTTTGCTTCTGCCCTAAGTCCCACAGCTGTCTCCAGAGCAAATGGGCGAGGTCAGAAATGCAACTTGGATGACCTTGTGCATTTAGTCACTCTTTGGTTGCTTTGTTATCATTTTACTTCCATTCATAAAAAACACTGGCTGTTTCTCACTTATTGCATTGTTTGGAAATAGACATCTTGTTCCCATTTTTAAATATACAAGACTGAAACTACTTTTTTAAAGCCAAGTACTGTAGTAATTTCCACATTACAATATTTCAAGTGCCTTGTTTGGCCTACAAACGCACCACAGCAACCTACAAATAAGCCTATGGCAGTTCAGAGATGAGTATTGGGTATATAGTTAGCTGTAAACTCGTGCGGCACATGGCTGGGTAGGTTTTTTGGCAGAGCCGTTCTCCCAACCTGCAGTGATGTGATGCTAAAGATATTAGCAAATTAGCACCATGAAGCTTGCCAGCTTATTCGCCAGAGTCTTGCTTGCTCTCTCACTGCTGTAATTAAAACTAATTATTTTCTAAAACATAGTAATACATGAATATGTGCAATAATCATTTTGTAGTGGGCAATCTGTGAAGTTTTTTTAAAGCTCCCCCCTTCCCCTTTGGCTTGTTCTCCCACATGTTGGCTGCTGAGTAAAACACTGCATTATCATTTTACAGAAAAGCAAAGCAGCCCAATAATAATCAGGCTAGATTTTTATTATTCTGCAATATCCATCATATTTTATTTAGCCTTTCCTTCCCCGTCTACTATTTTTAAACACATTTTGCATAGTTAACAAAAATGTGTTGAGCTTAGTTAGCTATATGTTCTATACCAAATGTGGAGCTCCTTTTGCTCACATACATTTGTGACTGCATTGAGATCTGCAGGCTTCTTTTTTATTTTGGAGGGTAATAACAGAAATGGAAGTTCAACTAATAATATTTACCTATTATGTAGCAGAAACTAAAAATGTTCAAAAATGCTTATACTTTAAAATTTGGTTTAGCCACTGTATATTCCATGGAGATTGCAAATACTCTTAAGAATACTCTCTCTCTCTCTCTCTCTCTCTCTCTCTCTCTCTCTCTCTTTCTCCCTCCCTCCCTCCCTCCCTCCCTCCCTCCCTCCCTCTTACGGTGGCAACTGTATACATAGTACTCTGCAGAATTCTTAAGGGGGAAAGTGAAATGCCCCAAGGCTTGTATTCTAGAATAGTAGGAAATAGACCAAGTTTGGGAAGGCAGAGACAAGAATAGGAAGGACGGAAGGAATGTAAACAGCAAATTTAAAATATTACAATTCAATCATTTACACGTGTCCAGTCAAAAGTGAGTCCCACTGAGTTCAGGGGAGCTTATTCCCAATTGAGTGTGTATAAGGTTAGGCTGTAATCTGAACCACACTGACCAAGGAGTAAGGCCCATTGAACTCAACAGGACTTAGATCTGAATCTTAGATCTGCAATTGCCTTGCAGCAGTTTAAAGCAAAGGCCTCTTGGGAAAAGTGAGAGATGACACGATGCACATATTGGCCAGGGACTTTGATGCATGGGGACAGCAAGGGGAAATGTGTGAAGTCAGATGAGAGAGTAAGAAACATTTGGGTAACTGACGATGGTAGAGTTTGAGGGTATAATAATTGGTAATAAAGGACCAAAAGATTTAGGCAAGGTTTTGGAGACCTATAAAGGTAAGTCCAACCTGGATGAAGGAGGGTATGGGAAACCATGTACAGATTTGCGGAGGGGATCAAGCAGTGGGAAAGGCAAATGATTTGTGTAGTGGCATTTTAGAGAGAAGTGAAAAGGCTGAGACATGACAGGGAATGCTGAAAGGGATGTTTCTTGAATCACATCATCAAGATGTTTTGCTCTCATTCAAACCTTTGGGATCTGGTAGGCTGAGAATTTAAGAAATTATTCCCCCCTCCCCAAATAATTTTACTGGTTTTCATGTAAATACAAGAACAACATATAACTACAGTAACTTGTCCAGTGGTACATCCTTAGAAATTGTTGTTTTTAAAGTATTCATTCCACAGTTGTGGAACTGTTTGTTCACACAGTTTTATACTGTACAGAGAAAACACAATATACATAATTGATCTGAATGTTTCTTTTGACTTTCGGCTTTGAAACATGAAATTCAGGAAAAATGCGACAATAGCTCAATACTGCACTTTTCCCACCTTCAAAACAATGAGAAGAAAATGAACATTTCTTTGGCACACCTCTGGAAAGTGTCTGCATAAGTGTTATCTGAACGAGAATGATCAGCATTCAGCTATGTTCCCAGCTGACTTCTTTAAGAAGGAAAATAGCTGAATACCCACATCGGCCACAGAACAGATCTACAGAATAATTTACAAGTTGAAGAATGTAGTTGAGTAGGTTGTAGGCTTGGGATTTGGCAACTAAGAGGCTCAGAGAAATATTATGTGATATTTTATAGTGTAATCATACAGATTTTATTGTGGTACTCAGATAACATACCACAAGGGCCAATTCAGACCTTAATTTATTAGTTGGAACAGCTGATGTGAGAATCATTCGCACTTCTGTTTTTCCACTAATGAAGTCATATATGAAACATTGCCACATGAATCTGACCCATAAAGGAGTTCCATGGGCACAAGAGTTTGGGTCAGAACACAAACCCACCTGCAAGATCTGTTTATCAGTGATGGGGACATTAAGAGGGAAACAGAAGCAGGAGTATTTCTTGTGTTTGTCGTTCCCACTTATGATAGGTTGCCTTATTTCTAAAAGTGAAAATTTGTTGAGCTTTTTTGGCAAATTTGTTGAGCTTTTTTAGACAAAAGCTGGGTTTTTTAAAATTCCAATGTGGGCCGCCATATGCCCGGATTTTCCCAGATATTTTAACAGATTTCTGAAAATTTCCCTGGACGCTATTTTCGGCAGACAACTCCCAGATATGTCCAGGAAATTCTGGACGTATGGCAGCCCTAAACTTGTGAAGTAAGCATCCAAATTGACCATAAGTCAACTGGTGCTTGTTCACATCTATGAAAGTACAAAGGAACCTGTTCCAGCACTGGTGGCACTGAAAATGCTCTCATGAAACCAAATCATCAGTTTCTATTATACTGCCACTTTCCAGGTAGCTACAAACTCATACTTGGGCTTGGATACTCTGGGGTGCTGTATTATTGCATAATAAGTATGCATTATATAGTGACTGCTAAAATGCTAGTAACCAAAGTAGCTTTTCATAATGAAAACATTTGTGCTTGAGAAAGTGACTTAAGAATCAAACATAGTTTGTTACTCCACAAATCCAAGAGGTGCCTAATGAAGTTGTCCGCAATTTTTCAGCATTACCATGGCAAGCATATATGGTTTGGATTATATTGCTGTCAGTTATTAAAGTGAGTCACTCAATAATTAGATACTAAAATTAGACCTTAAAACTGTGTTTCAGGTTTGTAGAGTGATTATGTGGGTGTACTAATTTGGAGACATTTTCTCCTATTGCACATATAGCACTTAACTTGTGAGATCTGAAGGACTTTTCAGCCTCTGTAAAAGATGGAGTATTGATATATTCCAGTTTCTTGTATCATCAGTTTTCAACATACCGAGAAGTCAACCTTGATGCTAAATCGTACCTCCTGTTTTTGATTAGCCCCTATGGGTCTTGCAGATATGATGACTCCAGGCGAGTCCAAACTGCCCATCCCTCTCAAGCCAGATGGAAAAGAAGATGGGCCTCCTCAGTTTGAGAGCAAAAAGGTACTTCCCTCACCTGCATGTGATGTTGGTTTGGCGCAGCAGAACTCTGCTATTTTGTCCTTCATTCTCTGATTTGAGCTTGCCCTTTTCTGTTCTATCCCGCATGCTCTTTTCCATTCACATGCAATCTGGTTTTTTTATGTTGTTTTATTTTCTTCCCCTCATTGTGTGGATCTGAAAGTTACTAGTTCTTATGGCATTGTAACTCGCGGGGGCAAGGGAACATATGGAAAACCTTGTGGGGAAATTGAGCTACGCCACTGGGTGCGCGGGGGGCGGGGATGGGTCTTACCTTGGTACTTGCAGCCATTTCCTCTATCTTCGGTTATAGCTTCCTGTTTTGGCCGTTTCAGCAGCAGCATACTTTTGCTTTCCTGCCTTATTTGATAAAAATAAGGTGAACAGCTTTATTTATTTTTTTCTCTTTATCTCATAAGGGGAAACCCATGCTTGATACTCCATTTAGCTTGAGGGAAGCATGGTGGCATAGCAACTTCAGCCAAGCATCCAGCAAACTTTCCAAATTATATAATAATGTCGTTTTGATAACTTACGTATTATCTATCTATATATTTATTTATTTACATGTATATGTGTTTTCTGTGTGTGTCTCTGTGTGTTTCTCTCTCTCTATGTTTTATAGAGTTAAAAAGAAAAAAAAATGGTCAATCTGTTTAAACTGGATGTATTTTTTTCATTTTTAATAAAGTTTGCCCTGCCTTTGTCCTCTTTTTTTATTCCTCTACCACAGGATAGCTACATCTCTCAGGGTATTTCACAGCCCCCAACCCCAGGCAACCTGCCAGTCCCTTCCCCAATGTCCCCAAGTTCTGCTAGCATCTCCTCATTTCATGGAGATGAAAGTGATAGCATTGGCAGCCCAGGCTGGCCAAAGACTCCATCAAGCCCTGTAAGTGGCTCTGGCTTTTGTTTTGGTTTTTTTGTACTTATTATATTTTAATGCTTGCTTGTTTGTTTTATAGATTCTTTCCTTCATTATTTATCCACTAAAGGGTTTTCTTTCTTTGTAATGACAGAGGAGGCTAAATTCTGCCCTAAGTTATGTTCCTGCAGCTCATTGTTTGACTCGGTTCTAGGGGGGAACAGAGCTTGCTTGGCTGAGGGCAAAATTTAGTCCAGTCCTTTTATATAAAAAGAAGATTAAATTTATGTATATCGCAGAAGTTGGCTTTTCTTGTAATACAGCAGATGTTGTGAAGAAAACATATTTCTCATAATGCATCAGCTTACAGAGCATGCTAACTGTGTTGGTTAAGGACATTTTGTCTCAGTTACTGGGTCCAAACTCTTTGCAAAATTGTTTCCCCCCCATTTGGGTGTTGAGTAGCATTACCATCTAAAAACAGGAATAAAACTCTCCTTTCTTGAGGAATTGGGTGATTTCTGAGTGTACATTATAGTTTGGAGCAATCATAATCTCCAAATACCCAAACCTGTTTGCTGTCATAAAAATATTATACAGGATAAAATTGTATTTATACATTACAGGAAAGTTACTTTTTCAATTTGACAGTATCCACTTGCACTTAAAAAACACATGTAGTCTTCAGATAGCATTGTAGTTTCAGAAGTATTTGTTCATTAAACACAAAATGATTTTGAATAGGATGACACTGAAATAAAACTGCTAGCACATTTTTCAAATCTAAGCAGGGTCTGCTATGGATTCAAATTGCATTGCAGGAGGTTGGACTAGATTACCCTTGGGATCCCATCCAATTCTACAGTTCTTTAATTCAACTAAACAATTGTTCTAGTGGAAGCCAGCACAAGTCCTGCTAATGCAATGGGGCTTCCACCCCATGTTCTCCTCTTGTACCCGCCATGCTCCCGACCCAGATTGGCTCTGGGAGGTTGGGAGACACACACACCCCAGAACAATGCAGGGGGGAGGAGAGGGGAATTTGTTCCATCTAGCAACCCGAAGTGCTTTCGCTGACAGAACGATCATAATGTTGAATTCCTTCTAAAATCTTAACATGTTTTATTTAACCACTGCAATTTCGTTAGACAAATAAATAACTTACTTTAAATAAATTTTGGAGTCCTGACAGCATGAAGAATGGGATGTTCATGTCATCAGTTGCAATGATCACTAAACATACTGAAGGGTCTTCAGTTAAATCCTAATTTTCACCAGGACACCTTAATGGAAAAGAAAATTCCAGAAGACAATAAGAGAAAATATTGTATAAAGGGTTTGGAGGGGGGAATGATCTCTAAGAAGATATTTTCTTTAAAAATATTTTATTAGTATCTGATTTCATCAGACAAATACTTGATCCAAACTTAGAAAAAGACATGCAGCTGACTCCCAAAACAGCAGCACCAGGTCTAGTTCCCACCTCCATGCTGTCTAATACAAGGACATACCAATTCCCCGATTTTCTAGTCTTCTGCATTTCCCCATACCACTCCATATCACTGGTGGCCATTGGCAGAGAGACACTGAATATGATTATATTAAGGCACATGTACTAGTGGGAAGCTGCCAGCCCATGAACCAGATGAGAACTGAGGGGCTTCCCCAACCAAACCACACACACAGGCTTGAAAATAACCTTCCATTGGAGCCACAGGAAGGCTATTCTCAAGCCTAATTGCCGCACCAGAAGGAACACACTACAGCTCCACTTCCAAAACTCACCACCTTCACCTGCTGCAATTGGACTTGAAAATAGCCTCCTGCTGGTGCGGTGCCAAACAATGGCTGTGTTCAGTCTCCATCAACCCAGCTGCAATCTCCATTAAGATCCCCTTTCAAGCCTAATTGCTTTGGGCTGGGGTGGGTGTGATATATGGTCTACATTTGGGTGCCCACTGTGACCCTTACCCACTTTTGTTTTGACGCCACTCGTGACTTCCAGAAGGTTGTCTATGGGATAACATACCCTAGGTCTGAAAAAGGTTCCCCAACTTTGTATTAGACATTATGGAACAGGTCACGGTTGATATACATACAGCTGCTGCTTTTAATGACAGCCATGTGTTTATCTGGTTTGGTTCGTGAAGATTAAAACAATCCAGTGTCCCAAAAATGAAAAACAATATTTCCAGGCAAATTGTTTCTCTTAAGAGTAGATTGCTAAGCTTTTATCAGTGGGCAAAATGAATACCAGCACAAAAGTCACATGCAAAAAGAAAAAGAAAGGTAACTAATATTTTAAATAAGTGCATTATGTTCTAGAGGGTTTTTGGAGATATGTGCTCGTAGCCCTTAGTGTGAAAGCATCAACAAAAGTAGAGAGGAACTAGGGGAAGAGGGCAATGACTTTGAGTCTCAGAAGGCATATGGTGGTGTGTGTTCCCTCTAATGTCAAAACTGGCCATGCCTGAATGCTTATCTAAATGGACAACTCTACAAAGAAGAAATTTATTGTATTTTCTTGAGTATTTTACTTTTTCTTAAATGGGCACAGAGAGGCATTAAGTGCATAGACAGTCTTTTTAAATATTTCTGGAAATGCAGAACATCTTTACGGTAGAAAATATGTATTCATGAGTTCTTTAAGCTGTTATTCATCCCCAGGGGAGCCTGTTAGAAATGCATGTTTTGTTTCCGCATAAATTAAAGAGAACCATTTCAGATTTTTTTTGGGATAGAGAAGGTGGGAATAATTACCTTTCTGTTTTCAATTTAGAGTAAACACTCACTTCAGATATAGTTCTTAGAATTTATTGTAAAACTTTTTCCGAAGACATATCTATGATTTGATTGAGTTTAAAAGTAATAAGGAACCAGAAAAGAAATAACTTGGGTTAGGTATATATTCTTCCTTTTACCATAATCCTTTGATTTCAGTGAAAATTATTTCAAAGAAGCAAATTTCAGATCAGGGTGCTAAACTATATAGATATATTTGGGCTACCAAATTATCTGGTTATCAGATTTTACTAACCTTATCAATTATCAGATCTGGGTGTTCAGGATAGCAGCTTTGTATTCTTTATATCAATTGGCTGAAAGATACCAAAAACCATATCCAACATCTGATCATATTCTTCACATATTTCTAGCAGAGAGTGAGTTCTAGAGCTGGCATGCTTTTCAGGAAAATATGAAGACACTGGGTTGAGTAATTATCTACTGTGAGAATTTCAAACTGGGTATCTTCGATTCTGCTGTTAATAGGATCAGTTTATGTTTATTCTGTGTACATAAATAGAATAGCAATAAATGGCATATTTGAGAGAATATGTGTGTGAACACACAAATTCGGAACTCTTAAATTCTTCACTGTGGGTATCATCAGTATACAAAGCCAAGTATCTGTAGTACCCAGAAGGCATACCCAGAAGAGCTGCTAGTCAGTGGCACATGATTTGCATGCAAAAGGTCTCATCCCTAGTGTTTCCAGGTAGAAGTGGGAAAGACTCCCACCTGAGAGCTGCTGCTAGTCAGTGTTGACAATACTAAGCTAGACCTGGTCTTAGTATAAAGTATCTTCCTATATTTGAAGAGATACACATTGCTTCCCTCCAGGGGCCCCTGCCGTACACAGCCTTTCTGTGTACACAGATTCTGCCTCACACAATGAGAGTCATTTCCCCCATTAATATATAACTTAGAGTGAACATGTAAGATAGCCAGCAATCACCAAGGAATGTTAACAATACCCCATGTGTTCAATTAATGTCCAGATATACAGTGATAAGTTAGTAAATGTGGACAACACTATAATAGTTAAAATAAACAATCACTAGTTTAGCTACCATTCTGGAAATTGACCAAATATATGCAAGATAATCTATGGATTTTGGACATGCACAATAACATATACAAATTACAGGATGGTGAATGCTCCCCCAATGAAGGCTATGCAGTCTTCAGAATTTTTCAGGCACTCAAAAATTGATGTGCACTGAACTTTGCTATAGTTCACCTGTGACTATTTATTGCTAGATGCACATGCTTGCAGAGGTGTGTTGCATGAACACATGGGAAGAAATGTTCACTACAATGTAATTGTTGAGAACAGACAGGTTTGGAATAATAAATGCACAACTACTGTCCACGTACATCAGCATACTTTTCCAGTCACAAATGTTTTAAATACTGGATAACACACATCTGATACAGAAATTATATTATTTACTCATCTTGTTTCAGAAGGCTTTCATCAAGCAATACTTTTGGTTAACTTAATACCAGCACAATGACTTTACTTACCCTGCTGTACATCAACAAAACCATTTGAGGCTACATTATTTTTTACTATTTACTTCAGCTTTAATTTTTGCACTGACTTCAGTTCATAGTTTATCGATTTTACAATGCAATAAATATTAGAATTGTGAAGTATAAAACTCTACTTGAAGGAAGTATGTTCTATAGGCAGAATCTGGCCATACAAAGCTTCTGCAATCTGTGCTTGACCAAGCAGTTGCATGTGCAAAATGTGAAATTTTTAATGTTTTTAGCTGTGGGGTGCAGACAGCAGAAATCAAGCCCTCTGTGGAAAGATTTTTTCCTTATTCTTCTGAAGTTAATATTTCATTTTAGAGGAAAATTGCACCCACTTCACTGAGCTTGACAGCCTGAAAGCTCCTGCAGTGAGAAGCCCTTCTTTCCTTCTGTAAATAGTAATGTTTTCAGATTATGTTGTCACTTTGTGGCCTGTTGCCATCTCTTTGAAAAGTGACTTTTCTTTATGTAGACAGTACAAGTGCCCAGCAAAGAAAAGACGGTAAACTACTTCCCCTTTTTTGATGATATAGCTTTATAAGAAGAAGTATTTCACTGTGTAAAATTGAAAAACCTTTGTTTGGCCATTAAGTCTGAATGTTTCTTGTAATAGGCAATTGGAATGGCAGCTGAGTGAAAAATTATTAAGGGTTATATTATTAAGGGATAGCATGTGCTGCAAGTTTTGAGCATGTGGAATCACAAGTAAGAAAATATAAAAATTAATTAACAATAATAGTGTTGGCTGCAATAATTAGTTGTTTGGGGCAATAGATCATTTCTTTGTTTGCTTCCCTGCATTCCAAATATATTGACGTATCCAAAATGATATTGTGAATATATGTGAAATATCTATAGCCCTTTTTGCCTTTTTAAAAATTCACTAAAATAGCTTACTATGCAATTGTTTTTAAGGGCAAAGTTGATAAAGAATTAATATCCTCCTAAATTAAGCAGTAGGAAAGGCAATAAGATGTGCCACATTCTCCTGTTGCAACCCTCCATTTGCATCTAGTAAACCCCAATTCAACCTAAGTAATTAATAAGTGTCCCTTTGGTAAATATGCTAAAAGCAAATTGATACTGTCCTTTATTTCAGAATGTGACCAACAACTTTTCATAAGAAGCATCACTGTGAATAAATGAGAACTTTGTATATAAAGCAAAAAAGTTTTATAGAGCCAAGGTGATTTGGTTAATTAAAAACAATGGACTCCATCCCAAGCAGGGAAGTCAGTGAAACAAGATGAGACCTTGGCAACTGCCCCAACATCAAGCAACTATTGCTATCATCATTTTAAAGAGTTTTTGCCCCTTCAGCTTCACATGCAGGTGGTACAAAGGGATGTAGGGGAAGAAATGATATGTCATGTTTGAATGACTCGAGACAGTTAGGGTTTCATAAACAACACAGAATTAGAATTGAGCTCAGAAGACCATAGGAAGACCCTAGAAAACTGATAAAAGGTACTTTTGACAGCTCATGCACTGCAATTGAGTGAGAACATTTTTAATAACCGTGTTGACTTACTTTTACCAACTTTTTAGCCAGATATAGCAAGAAACCAGATTTGGCAAAATTGATTTGACCTGTTCCATTCTACAATTATTTCTTCAGAAGTGTAGGTTTCCCACCCTTAGCTCTTCACTCTCATATCTGGTGGCATTCATTTTAAGGTGAATTTCCAAGCAATCTTTTTTCTTTTCCTCCTATATCATATAGCTTAATGAAACTACGTTATGAATGACTTGAGGCATCATCAGAAACTTGCCTTCTGAGATCCAAAGTTCATGTATAAGGGCAAAACATAAAAAATCATAAAAGGGGGAGTTTGGGCCCTTTGTTTTACCAAATCAGATGAGCAAACTGCAGCATGTGGACAGAATGTATTGTTTGTGCCTGAACTAGTAGCCTTCATTCCTGCCTGTTGTGTGATAGCTTTAGTTTAACATCCTCTCTTTGTCACCATTGTGAGTTTCTTACTATCTTTTCCCTTCTTGCCCCCTACCCCAATGCTTTTTTAAAAAATGCTTTTGCTTTAGAAATCAAATTCGTCTACCACAACTGGAGAGAAGATCACAAAAATGTATGAGCTGGGAAACGAACCAGAGCGCAGAATGTGGGTGGATCGGTATCTCAACTTCATGGAAGAGAGGGGAACGCCTGTGGCCAGTCTACCTGCTGTAGGCAAGAAGCCACTAGATCTTTTCAGGCTGTATGTCTGTGTTAAGGAGATTGGAGGTTTAGCACAGGTAAGGAATTCTTATGTCTTGGTGTTTGTTGGCATCCATCTGTCTGGAGAGACAATGGAGTGCGCCTCTGGGGGTGAAGTCAGACCGCTGTGTTAGCAGCACCCAAGTCTAAGAACCAGGGCTATTCTGGATTTATTAAGCATATGTGCGTAAGTATTTTCTTGGCTAGCATATAGATATTAGAAACTATAAATAATAATTATGTCTTTCCACTACAGCTATAGACGATACATCTCAGTATACCATTTCTGTGAAAAATGCACAAGTGTCTGTTTTGTCATATGCACCTGTGTTTCAGAGCAGTATTGGAATTTAGTTTGCAAGAATTCACATGGTATACACTTCTTTCTCATCACAAGCACAGAAAAATGTCATTGTGCAGCTCTAAGACTTACAGGCTTTGATATCGTACGGCATAAAGCAAGATTCATTCTAGTTGGCCACCATATGTAAGGCTTTCAATAAGGAAACTCACTGAATCACCTTAGTATGTTCAAAATTAGTTATAATTCATTTTGAATCTTGTTTGACTGTATATCTTGTTCTGCAAAGAGACCACTGATCTCCATCACAAGAAGCCCTGGCATTACAGCACCTGAATTAGGAATTACTAGCTAAATGATCCTTCAACTAGTGGCTATTTTAGAAGAGACACGGCCTTTCGTTTTAATTTTTTATATCAATGTCAGAGCACTTCAGCAGTGAAAAAAGGCTTTATTATTGCCATTTTAAATTAGTTTTTAGAAACTGTTGTTTATAATTGGAGTTCTGCATGCTTGTTTGAGTGCCAGAGCGAACGAATAAGTACATATTAGTTGGAAGATAGATTGGCTAACTGCACATGACAAGCCCCAGCCCTCCCCAAAGTGTAAAGAGTAGAGAAGGGATGCCTGGCAGAAGATACTGTGTTTTGTATAGCTATCAACAGGTTCTTTAATGGTTTTATAAGTGTAAATGCTGTTTGTGTGTTACAAATGAGTGTGGGAGTAATGAGCATTAGTTAAAAGAGGCAAATAAAACAAACAAACCAAGGCATTAAGTGCTGTGTTTTTTAAAATGTCTCCTGGCTTTCATCAGTCCACTTGGTTTCAATCCACTGATTCTGCTATTTATTTATGCTAGGTTAATAAAAATAAGAAGTGGCGTGAGCTGGCAACCAACCTGAATGTTGGCACTTCAAGCAGCGCAGCCAGCTCCCTGAAAAAACAATATATCCAGTACCTGTTTGCCTTTGAATGCAAGATTGAACGAGGGGAGGAGCCCCCTCCAGAAGTCTTCAGCACGGGAGATACCAAGAAACAACCTAAGATTCAGCCGCCATCTCCTGGTAAGCAGAAGAACTGCAGAAACATTGGTCATTTTTTCTTAAAGTGTAAAGGAGACGTAGTTACTTTTTGCTCTAGACCTCCAGAGCCTCTGTTTGAGTGGGATATTCCTATTGAATTTATCAAGCCCCTCTGTTAATCTATATAACCTATATGCTTTCATATTGACATTTGCAGAAATATGTTGTGTGTTCACCTACACTTCATCATTTGTACAGAATATGGTGAC